CCAACCCCCCCCCCCCCCTTAATGTGCGCCCCTGCACAGGCTAGCCTCTTGCTGGTGGCTTGAACTTGCTTCAGTCACGATATCCCAACAATTGAGATAGTTTTGGACTTTTGGTTATAAACTAGTTCTTTGACTCAGATTTTCCGAAATTTCGAGTCTGGATTTTTTAAAGTTAAGTCCGGGTTTTCGCAAAGTCGAGTCCAGATTTTTTCGAGTCTGGGCAGATTTTACGAGTCTTCGGTTTTTTGATTCTTGAGTCCGGGTTTCTCCGACTACGAGTGTGTAAACCATCTGATATCATCATGACAGTTATTATATCATGTTTCAGTCTGGTAAACAACTATGTGTTCGGATGCCAACTGTGTTTTTGTCTTAGAAGAAAGGCATTTTTTTATTGTGCAGGATGTGCGCACACGCACCGACCCCGAGAATTCTCGCTGCGTCAAACTGGGAATTAATTAACTTAATTATTCGATTAATTGCATACAGTAATTGTTTGAAATGACAGCATGTAGTCATGAAGTCGTTTTGTCCCAGGTGACTATAATTTTATTTGCACGGTGAACATCTTTGTCAGTTCAGCATGCATCGTGCAGTCATACCTACTGAAATGCTCTCATGAATGTTCGAATTTGATTCCTAAGGCCTGTAAGGGTAATCATTAAAGATATTCCAGTCAGTAATCTAATTATTTTATGATTCAACAATTTTTTGAGACAATATATAGCCTAGTAAACAGATGTCAGCATGCAGTCAAGAAGTTATTTTGCCTTGATCAGACTATAATAATATTAATCTTTTGCAATATCCTGCATTAATCTATAGTTAATTTATGTATATATCAAGACAAATTAATGAAAAATATATTCAGCTAAAACCCGACTTCTTTCTGGTTGCACACAGCTGTCATGACCATGTACTCATGCAAGTCTTGCACCGATGTTAAATACTCTAATTAGACCTATCTTGTCTTTTGTGTGTTGCATTCCGATTGTTAACTGATTTCAGCAGTGATAATGTATATCGAAATTCTATACTTGCTATTTTGGTCGTGATCAGGACCATTGCGACAAAAGAAAACCAGACATAATGCAAAGTCATGCAAGGATTGCAATTCACCAATATATACAAGAATATATAATAATATACAGGGTGTCTCAAAAAAACCCAAAATCATTGAAATTGACGTATTGTTCGATATTCAATGCTCTAGCACTAAGTTAATCCCACGAGTGCATAAAAGATTGACATAACTGCTATAATGAATGGTAATACTCAGCGTAAACTTGTTATGTCAGGCATAAAGTACTAAACCCACGAATGCATATTACGCATATTACAATTTACGAAGCATTTTTAAATTCCCATGAGCAAACAAACGTTCACTTTAGAAAGATATTTTAATTTTTTAAAACAAATTAATCACCCTGTCAAAATCCTTTGTGTTACGGCATTGAAATTCGAACAATACGTTATTTCAATGATTTTGGTTTTTTTTGAGACACCCTGTATAATATATAACATATAACATATACCAGTACAGCAAATTCTAAAGCCCTGATTCCACGAGCGCTTTTTGTCAGCGAAATGCGAAATATTTCGCCTGTTTCTTTTGAATTGTGAGCAATCAAGTAGAAATAATTTATTCGAGTGGTCGCAATTCAAAAGAAACAGGCGAAATATTTCGCATTTCGCCGACAAAAAGCGCTCGTGGAATCAGGCCTTTATACAGTCAGCGAAAATTCGTGGCAATGCTTGTCGACCGCCAGCTGCGCTCGCAGATCTGGGTAGTTGATTGTGATTGGTCATAGTTAAACTCAGTAGATTCTGATTGGCTGAGTTCGAAGGTCAACAAAGTTCTGACTTTTAATATAAAGTAAACAAATCACATCACGCCAGCTCAAGAATTGCCGTTATTTTCAACTCCTTGTTGCATTTTAGTTATTCAATTGGATATCATATTAATCTGCATCGAAAGTTTAGCAGTTTGAAGCATAGAGAGAAGTAACATTTACAAGGAACATCAAGTGTCAAGAAAATGATGAGAGTTGGCAAGTTGGAATTGTTACAGAGGACAATTCAAGCTCTTGATTAACAAAAAAGTTCAATGAGTGTTCCAACTATATTTTAAGTTAACTAGAATGCATGATGTTCGGGAAGCAGCAAGAACTAAGCAAGGTCACGTGACTGTCAGCTCTCACCAGGGAGCCCTGCTCTCATCCTCGTGTGATCCGGTATATTAATCAGTACGCTTATCCACGTCAATGGTAAGCAGGGGTCGCCATAACAATAAAAGATCGACAATGAACCATATAAATTATCTTTCTAAAGAATCATAAACACTGATCACTATTTGTTATGAAGCCAGTCACAAAACACGATCACTTTAGGTTGGTATTTACTGGTAAGCAGGGCAACGAGTTACAGGTATAATTTATACTGTATAAGACATAACCAAAAAAGTCGTTCTAGGGTATAAAAGTGCCGGGTAAACTGACTAAATAAAACTGGTATTTGCACAAAATCAAATCACCAAGAGTCTCTTTCGCAAGTACGTTATCTTGCATGCAGTTACTATACGAAAAAGAACCTCACAGGTCGTCATTGACATCAATCCATAGCTTTATGCGGTTTCATTTTGGTTTGGCCTGAACGTATAAAAGATAGCCATTTATGAGTTATCGATTCTAACAGTGTCAATCATATCACCATGTGTTCCATTAAGATCTCCACATGTTCCAGTTCAGTGAAAGCTGAGGGATAGTTAAAAAGAATTGCGGTTTTGATCTTGAAATAAAAAATATTTTAGATGCTTTACTAATTAAAAACAGGGTTGATGGGTAAGGTCAAGTGCCACTCCGTAAAACTGCACAATAAACCTTGTGTAGTTAGATTCACGAACATTGCTGATTAGGGGCGGGGGTGAATGGGGGAGACCGCTTTCCTTCAATATTTTCTTAACTATACATTATCATGTATCTTGCAAGGATCGGGAAATATGCTTGCAAGGAAATATGCATGATAATACAGTACATTATCATGTATTATATAGTTATCACTAAATTGCAAAAAGATTATTTTAACAATGAAAGTTATTTTAACAATTATCTTTAAATTGCGACTAACAAGTTGCTCGGATATGTTGGCAACCTAAATTACCCCCCAGTACACACATTGGTTCTCATCATTGACATTCGATGTTATGGGAATTATTTTTAACGAGTAAAACATAACCTAAATTAAGAGTAATTTTGATCATGAAAATGCTAGCTCACGATATGACGGGAAAATATGCATTTTGCCGTTGTAAACAGAGCTTGGACACATTGGACGTCTAAAACCCCTGCTATACTCAAAACCCCTGCTAGATTCATTTCTTTTGTGCTATACAGGGTGTATCAAAAAAAACTGAACAGATTTGAAATTGCTCTCAATTTCGCAAAACACCTATTTGTATCTGTTTTTTATATATATAGCTTCTTTGGGTACTTATAATGTAAAATAATGAAAAAAATTTCTCGAACTCAAATTTTGTAAACCAGGGGGGGTGTCCTTCCCAACAAACTAAAAATGGCTCGCGCACAAAATTTAAAAGCTGTAATCATATTTTGAGTTAATAGATTGAAAATGTGTCGGGTTTTTAATTACTGTACAAAATTTCAGACAATTTGGTGTAGTTTAAGCCCTTTAACTATTCACTTTGTTCTAAAAGTCAGCCTTTCGCATGCTTAATTAATGCCTTTACCTAATTTGCATATTGCTGACATATGCAAATTAGGCAAATGCATTAATTAAGCATGCAAATAGCTGATTTTTCGGGAAAATTGTAACTTTGCGTGAATAGTTAAGGGGCTTAAACTAAACCAAATTGTCTGAAATTTTGTACAGTAATTAAAATCTAGACAAATTTTCCATCTGTTAACTCAAAATATGATTGCAGCTTTTAAATTTTGTGCGCGAGCCATTTTTAGTTTGTTTGAAAAGACACCCCCCCCTGGTTCACAAAATTTGAGTTCGAGAAATTTTTCTCATTATTCTACATTATAAGTACCCAAAGAGGCTATATATATAAAAAACCGGATACAAACAGCTGTTTTGCGAAATTGAAAGCAATTTTAAATCTGTTCAGTTTTTTTTGATACACCCTGTATAATTGTCATTGTATTCATAGCCTTCGTCTCGACGTTGCCGTCTTACATGCGTGAACTCCCTACTGATATACCCACAGGCACTGATCATGATAAGGAATTTGATTTTCATTTTAAAAGATTTACGTCTTGTTGTACCAGTTTGGTAAGCAAGTACTAGTTAGTGTTGAGTTGGCAAGTTGAGTGAGAAGGGCATAATATGCTATTCAGTTGTACCAAGCGCCCTGGTTGTGCGTATGCAGATTATCAACTGCGTCTATATTTTCTTTGCAGTGCTAAAAATAGCTAAGAACACTAAGTGTCTGAAGAGCATGCAGTCGATGGAGAGCTGTGGGATTTGGGGTAAGACAATAAGAAAGCAGACTTTACCTGCCCTCCAGATATTGCATGTTATGCAAAGTCTTTTTAGGCCAGCTGCAAAGGGCCTATCATGATCATCACAAGTCGACTGTTGCGAGGTGAAGGGACCGAAAATGCACAGAACAAATTCTTAAAACCCCTTTTTTGGAAAGTTTAGGATTTTAAGGCCACTTAATAGCGGGCAGAATATATTACTGAGGTGTTTGAATACCATTTCCAGCCACGCTTGCAGAGATACTGACTCGACCATGTATACAGCTAGTTCAATTAAAGTTATCCAGAGAAAACCGCACAACGCGTCGACCTCTAATTAAGCGCGAAAAGCATTATTATGAGATTGTTTATACACACGTTAGGCTGTTAGCATATTCATGCTAATCAAGCGAATTTAATTTCCAAACGAGTCAAGCACATCACACAAACAACTTTCAAAAAGTTTAAATATCCAATGAATTCTGTGTCAGGTTTGCTATTTACTATACTAAATTGGGTTAGACGAGGAAATATAATCTGAGAAAGGTGAAAATCAACGGGAATGCCGATACCAAAACGGCTTGTTCCGACTATAAGACTATTAACTACAATTAGTATAATTACATAGGTGATTATTGAAAATTCTCTACGCTGATTGGTTACCGTTGAGGTGATTATTACGCGATAATCACCTAAGCGATTTTCAAAATGGCGGCCGAAGCCGTTTTGTCAATTGAAAGACGAAGAAATGGTGCATTTTAAATTTTTTTCCAAATAATCACCTATGGAATTATACTAAAACAATTATTCACCTCAGGCTCGGTGATTATGGTGAATAAAAACCTCGACTTCGTCTCGGTTTTTATTCACCGATAATCACCTCGCCTTCGGCGAATAATTGTTAAATATTGCATGCATGTCCATCGTGCTTTACGCGCTTACAGGTCGAGGTTTTGACTTTGAAAACAACCTTAATTGCATAGGCAATTCCAGCTTTTAGTTTATGCATGCAGGGGATGGGAAGTAAGGTATCATATTGCTGACTATGCTAAAAAAGAAAAATGGTGGCCGCGTAAACACGGAGTGATAGCTTATACTTGTAAATATGGAAATATTTCGGTTGTTTCGGCGGTTTTTATTGAACTTTTTAAGCATAATCAGCAATGTGATACCCTTACTTCCCGTCACCCTCTTCGCGCAAAAATTAAAAGCTTGGAATTGCCCATTAGCTGTGTCTTCATGCACAGTTTAG